TAACATAACAGCAAATGTGCAACGTTTCGACAAGGTTTTGTCATCATCAGGTACAAGTGAATTACACTGACACGGAATCCATCTTAATTGAACAAAACAACCCTACTCTAAACCAACACCCCAGGGTGCCTAGATACCTCTTCTAAGTTTCACAACAGTTCCGGTCATGTGACTTCTTTGTTCAATACTGTATATATATATCCGTGTCAGTGTAAATTACTTGTATCTGATGATGGCAAAACCTTGTCGAAACGTTGTACATTTGCTGTTATGTTAAACTTATATTAAAGTTTTTCTTCATTACCCATTCAAGCCGTCTCCAGCCATTATTAGTCTCAAAGTGGGTTCCTCGTCATCAAATTTAAATTTTAACTATATAAACTTATCAAAATTTCATGAACTAACTAACTACATATATAAAACATAATTAAAATCATAACATCTGTCAATAAACTACAAAAGGTATAATTTTTGAAGGAAAATTCACTAAATATATCATTTTTGGTTTACATACAAATTTCCATCATTGTTATATAGTGTTGATTTCATTACCAACATGCAATTGATAAAATTAATAGTATTAAATCTATTTTATTTGCTTATATATGACAATGAATGCAGTAGACACAAATACTAGTTTACCCAAGTTACAAAATACATGTAGATACCTGTGAGACGATTATTACTGAAGTCAACATATTGAAGATGACTGTACTCTTCAACCCCACTGATGCTAGTCAAACCTTCATCCTACACCAATATAAATTTCCACATGTGTACAAAGTTTGGTCATTATCAATAACTTTTGGTCAAAGCAACCTACCTTCACACACTTCAACTACAAATTAGCAATTTAAATAATGTAGCTAATTTAATACAATAGTCCAACTTGTAGTATACACTGTTATAAAACAAAAACTTATAATGATTATAATGCCCTGACTCATCATTTGGGTACCCTTGTTATTATCAATATTTTTTACTTTAATTACAATAATATCTAAAGAAGTTTGGGCAGTTTACAATATTTAGGTTAGTTCTACATCCAAATACAAAGTTAACAATACAAAATAATTTTAATAATAAAACATATCTAATAAATAAGTGAAAAATAATAAAATTAAATATACATACTTAATAAACTTTTCAATCCATATTGTTAGTGAAACTAGCATTAAAGAAAGAATGGAATATATCTTTATTGTAATATTATTTTGAGTCAGAACAAGTAATAGTGTAAGAAACCTCAAGTTGAGTTCAAAAAAGATATTTTTTGTTTGTACATAACCTCATTTCATATTTCAGCTACAGTATGAATGACTTTTTTTAAATGTTTACAAAAGTTAAACACTCTGTCCTCCTCCAACCCCAAGAACTACAGTACAGTAACTAAACTCAACAACGTATAACAGTACAGTAGAAATATGTTCATACTGATACACTGGATAAGAGAAAGATTTATAACATTAACTTGAATTTAAAACACCATAATGACACTAAATTATAAAAAAATAACATAATGAAGAAACTTTTCTGAATTAAATCATCATCAGTAATGCAACAGTAATTATATTAAATATAAATAAAAGCACAATGAAAATGTTTCTGTGAATAACAAAATTATGAAAAATACAATAACATAAACATTGTTAATAAAATAGAGGGTATCAATTATCAGTTTTCTGAAACATTTTCTTAAATTAAGCCAACTACCTTCAGAGAGAGTCTGAGAAAAACTAGCGTGTTTCCTGTTTCATCTTTTCCAAAGCATGACAAATGTTTATCAATGTTCACAGGTATCCTTTTAAGGCTTTCTTTACTGCAAGAAAACTCAACATTCGTTATAAAGAATCCTCCCTTCTCCATCTCACCTTCACCACACATTTATCATAGATGTTTTACACCATCTTGAGTTGTCACAGTTTCATTTGACAAAGAACAAATTTACTTGAAAAATAATTCCTGAAATACAGAAGAAAATGCAACTTTGTTTGAAAAGAAAACAGAAATATCAGGTTTATAGAAGAATCTATAAACTTTGAAAAAATAATTGGTTAATGCACATAATTGATATTTTCCTGAGGATTTACCTCATTTTGATAGATTTTGTAAAATAAGCAAAGCCACAATTACTAAACACTGTTGTAAGGAAAAACGAAAAATATTTATCTGTGCGTGATAAAGTACACAGCTAAATTTAAAATTAATTTCCATGTTTAAAATGTAACCTCTAGATCTAAGATCTACCTCACAAAGACAATTCTAAGCAGGTGACATTTTACACTTCTTCTGATGAAACAACAAGTTGACATTTTCTATTTGTATCTGTTGTTACTATTATTTTTTGCTGTATGTGTGACATAGCACCCTGACTTTAGAAGTTACACAAGAAATGTGATATAAAGCCATTAATACAATGAGGTCGTACATTAACTACCTGAACAAACATCTATCACTTAACTACAAGTTAATAAGTTTAACATCTCTCATTCTTAGGCTTATCTAGATATAACTAAAATTAAAATTCAACCACAACTACCATCACAAACCATTTCTTGAGATAATCTATCCCAGAAAACAAAATAAAAAAACATTTAGATTCAAGCTCCTACCTTATTCCAAGCCTAAAAACATAATAATAATAAGATAGATATTTGAAACTGCCGACACTTGGTGAAACTCCATAATTACAGAATTGAGGACAAAACCAAAGACAATTGTACATTTCACTAAAACAATTATAATGAGTATGTTTTCACCAGTACCTGATGATGCCTTTACTGGTGAAACCATGGTCAATAATAAATGAAGTTTTAGTGACATTACAATTGTCTTTGATTTTGTCCTAAATTCTGTAATAATAACAAAAGCTTTCTATACCACATGTTTAGGGCATTAAGAGTTATTTAATATTAAAAACATCATGATCAACACACTAGTTATACCAGAAATCATTCTGGTGATCAAGAACTATTTCCATAACACAGCTTTCTTATGATCAAACTAAACAGTATTATAAAAGTCTAAAAAAATCTTGAAAAAGGAAATATACAAAGAATAAATTTTTCTTTTATCTTGAATTTACACTTATTATAAATTGTTTCCAATATGTTCTTGTCCTTTTTCTTGTATATGTTACAATCATGCACTCAAAAAAAACATTTCAACATACTTTATAATTGTGTAATAATTTCCTCTATAAAAGTAAAACAACAAAATTTCTAAAATAATTTTAACAAGTATTCTTGTAATTATTGTACGTTAAGAACAAAATCTTACATTTCTTGATTCATATGCAAATCTTGTATATAACAAAAAACCATGAATCGTACACTGTCTCAAAAAAATCGACGTTACCTAGCACCTTACTATTAATAGCATTATGAACATACAAACATTTAAATTTCTCACAAATCATGTTGCTCTATTTCATTCATGGACATGTGTATCAGTCTAACAGCTTGATCAAATTAAATGTAATTGTTACGTCTCTGGTCTTTAGTTAATTTTCCGTAAAAATTATTTCCGAAGAAAATTTACCAGTGAAACAAGTCGTTTCTTAAATAAAACTAGTTTATTCTTTCTCAATACAACTTTGCAATACACTTAATTTCCACAGTCACGCTATAACTTAAACGATATAATTCACAACGAACGAACGATTCACGAGCTTGGCTCAATTGTCGTCTGTATCTCTGACTGCAGATCAATTCCGATTGTTGCTGTCACTTCTTGGCGGTCTTATATACAAGAATACCGCATATCTAGTAAACACTCAAGGCTTCACGAAGGGATAGGAGTTTTCTAGAAGCTCATGACGTGTTACTATGGTCACGTGACTTCCGCTGTCGTAACATAATTATTAAAATTTATATATATATATATATATTAAAAACTTTAGTTCAAAGTAATAGCAAACCATTCCACAAGTTTTTTCTTTTTTGATAACCAGCAAGTCTGCAACTAGGCTTCACAGTTTTGATCTATTACAATTCATTCAACAGTCCATACAACCAGCTACACAGACCATTCACAAGAAGTTGGATAAACCCATAATTGTTCTGGAGTCTGGATTCCAGACTTATTTAAATCACCTCTAATTATTATATGATTTTTTAGAAAATACATAAATCCCAAACTTTGCATCTGACTACTTTTAACTTACATTTCTCAAATATGTATCAATCTAATGGCTCATCTTTACGCTCTCCTCCACATGTTATCTTTCCTGTTGTAACAGAAGCAAAACCACACACACCGTTCTCCAAATAAACCCTCTTTGCTTATACCACTAAGGCAGTTTTTAAACCACTTCTTAGCACTTACACTAATCCCAAAAATTTCCAAATCGTTAATTAATCTCTTGTGAGTCATTCTGAAAGTGAAGAACCACAATAACTACTATTACCCTCATCCAAAGAATCATAAACCCTATCAAACCAATTCCACAAGTTTGTAAGCCAAGAAAACTGTTATACACCATGTTGAGGACTGCTGATCTGAGCTCATCACGTACTTTTTAAAGTGATTTCCGAGAATATCAATAGGTTCCAACCAGACAATGGCACACGGAGTATATGCCCTGATTCTATTTGACAGTGCCCCGAATCCCCAGTTGGTGTCTTGAAAAATAAGAATAAAAGACCACGATCAATAACATACTGAAACACCAAATATTTCTGCACCTATGGACTCGAGCCCCAAATCTTTTAAGCACCTAGCAACAACTCTGGTTCCAACATTATACTAATAATAAACATGTAAATATTCCATCTTCTCATTGGTTCTTTCTTTTTGAAAAGTAGGAATCATATTATATAAAAAAGAGCATTTTAAATGTAGCCTTTTTCATGGATTTACAATAAATCTTGTTAGGGCCAAAAAATGTTTTTCAGGAAATTTCCTATGTAAGTGTAGTGTGTGTGTGTAACCAGAGAACATGTAAAAATCAAGAATACATATGTAAGCCAATAAATTGCAATGTAAATGTATGCAATGAGCCCTAGTGTTGAATTGGTGTCTCCTTACATTTACATTAGCCATCAACATGAACAACACCCAATGTGAGAAAAAATGAGTGCAAAAATATTGTACCTGAAGTCTTGACATAATACTGACAAGTTTTCTGCTATCTGATGGCAAGTTCCGTATTGAATGTAGCTGTGGTGGTATACTATGCAAACTGATGTGTTATTGTTTTCTTGAGTTAGGAAAGTGAAAATTTCAAGTTCATCTAGAATTTTCAAAAATTTTCACACATGCACATTTAACAATGGAACATTGGTCAAGAAGTGTGGCTAAGTTCCTTTCACTTTAGTTGCCTATTGTCCTGGGTCATTCCTCAATGGTATCACATGTGCTTTTTTATGAACAAAAAATGCTATAAAATAGAATGCACTATGTAAAAGTGGAGAGTGATCTTCTCCAGTGGCAGGTCAGGTAATACCTTGAGATTCTGTCCTTCTTACTTGTTATTAGAATGACCATAAGCGATGTGTACAGTGCATGCACATTTAGAATCATGTAGAAAGCGCAAAGCATTCTCAGTATAGAACAAATTCCCAGATTAAAAATGTAGTTAACAACTTAGTTTTAGCCTCCAGCAGAAGTGCTGTTATTTATTCATTGCACTAGTAACTAGTTCATTACCTCCGCCACCAAAGGTGGGCGGAGGTTATGTTTTCACCCCTTTGTGTGTTTTTCAACAAGATTTCTCGAAAAGGGCTGAATGAATTTTAACGAAAGTTAGTTTACATTTTGACTATGACCCAACATAGAAATGATTAGTTTTTGGAGTGTCATGGTCACAATAAAGTAATGAAAAAAAAATCCCTATCTGTTAACATGGGGACCAATTTTTCACACTATTTTTGCTCTATTACTTAGTCAAAAATTATCCTATTTTGATAAAACTTGGTGGACATATATATAATATTATTATAATCATGTTCTGACAATAACGACAGACAGACGGACACATTTTCGTTATTTTTGAGAGCTGATTATGATCAATACTGAGTGGCAGAAGTATGCGGCCTACTAAGTGCCCCTCTAGTTTTAAATATTTTTGTCACGAAACTAAAATGATTACTTTTACATTGTATTTGGTCATTTTTCTTGAAACTCGAAAAATCAGAAAATTCAGATTTGCTAGATGATACATTTTTTGGTTGTTCCTCCAGTTATTTGAGATTACTACCTGCAAGGTAAATCACTACATCTGGGAATATCACACCGTCATTCAATCTCAACTACACAGTCACACTCATAATCTTTCGAATGAGTCACACTTACAATATACTATACAGGTCTTGTTTTTGTTTTTGAATTTCGCGCAAAGCTACACGAGGGCTATCTACGCTAGCCGTCCCTAATTTAGCAGTGTAAGACTAGAGGGAAGGCAACTAGTCATCACCACCCACCGCCAACTCTTAGGCTATTATTTTACCAACGAATAGTGGGATTGACCGTCACATTATACCGCCCCCACGGCTGAAAGGGCGAGCATGTTTGGTAGGACGGGGATTCAAACCCGCGACCCTCAGATTGCGAGTCGAGCGCCTTATCCACCTGGCCATGCCGGGCCCACTATACAGGTCACAACATTAAATAGGCCTACATTAGTATATAGTAATAGTATTAGCTACTACTAGTACTAAGCAATAAGCTTACTTACGAAGTTTCGTTAATGATAATATATGTATACCCTTGTTTTTACTTGAAGTTTAAGTTCAGAAATATACATTTGTGATGCTGAAGACTCATAAAATAATATTTAGACTATTCTTACAAAAACTCATTTTATATGCAATAAAAAGAAACAGACGACAGTTGTATGCAAATAAACAAATGAAGTGATATTATCTTAATTTAACTTCGATATCAAATTCATAATACCCGCTTATGCAATTGGAACCTCACTCGGCCAATTAAAAGGCCGAGTGATCTTTCGATTGCTGCAAGCAGTTACAACGGCCATTATCTGATGAATATATTTATGTACTTGCATATGTAATTATATTTGGTTAATACACTGATAGACATCGAATTTATGGAACGGCTTTCAATAACTTCCCAAATTAAAAAAAAAACACAATAAAGGTGAGGAAGCGTTTAATATACTTTCGTTATGAAGATATTTAGTTCTGTCGTAAAGAAGTTAACTATATCATTGAACAAAACTAACTTAAATATGATGTACATCAGCGTAGGCAGTAGGATGTAACTAGCTGACTGCCCTTCGTGTGTCAGTAAAAGCTGTTTAATTTTCCTCTAAAAATTAAATCTAAATAAAAGTTTTATGAACATATTATCTAAATATTAATTATATTATAGTACAAATATATCATGAATATTTATGTGGTTCATAATAGGAATCGCAAATGAATTTGCTCAAAATTCTAATACAACATTCGGACAAAAGCCACCTTAAAAAGCAGTCTTATTCTTGAAACAACACTCAAAACCTTCCTTTTCACTAATTAAGACTACCCAAACATTGATAATAAGCAAAATAAATGATTTCACGATTGTTAGAAAAAATCAAAATTTGATAGTTAGTTCATATTATTATTTCACAAGCTTACAGCAAAACCTTGACAGACCTATTATATGAAACGCTGTGAACGTCCAGAATTATTTAAAAGTTGATTTAAGTGGTTATAAATACGTGATATATGCGTTTTATTCTGTGCTGTTGCCTTAGTACTCGACGCGTGTTTA